AAGTCTGTTTATTTTCTTTGTCTACTTCATTATTCACTGTTCTAAAATGTTTAAGGGACAAGTGTTTTGCCCAGAGGATGAGACACTACTTGGGATGCCCACATTTGTTTCACAGTGCCTGGGTTCAACTACTGCCTCTGCTTCATGCTATTGTGCATCCTGAGAAACTGCAGTTGCTGACTGGAGTGGTTTAGTCGCCATGACCCACATGGGAGACCCTCGTTGAATTCTGGGCTTTTTGACTTTTAGCTGATTAGCCAGCCCTATCCATTGTGAACATTTGGGGTGTGAACCAGTGAATGGAATATCTGTGTGTACCTTATAATTAAATGTATTTTTCTTAGTGTCCAGGTTGGAAGAAGTATGTGATTTGCTGAAGAGAAATATTTCCTAACATTTTCCAAAGTTAAAAACAACAGTAATTGTGAAATAAAATATTTCAAAAAAATAATCATTTAGTCATTGAAGATTAAAGTTGAGGGGCCAGCACTGTGGTAGAATAGATTAAGCCTCTGCCTGTGTGATGCCAGTATTCCATGTGGTCACTGGCTTCAGTTCTGGCTGCTTTATTTTGGATCTGGCTTCCTTCTAATTTTGCTGAGAAAGCAGCAGAGGATGGTCCAAGTCCTTAGTCCTCTGCATCCGTGTGGGAGACCCAAAAAGAAGGTCCAGACCAGCCAAACCATTTGGGGAGATTTTTTTCTATCTCTCTTTAGTCTGCCTTTCAAATAAAAATAATTCTTTTTATTGCAAAGTCAGATTAATAGAGGAGGAAAGAGAGGAAGATCATCCGTCCAATGGTTCACTCCCCAAGTGACCACAACGGCCGCTTCTATGCCAATCTGAAGCCAGGAGCTTCTTCTGGATCTGCCATGTGGGTTCAGGGTCCCAAGGCTTTGGGCTGTCCTCGACTACTTTCTCAGGCCACAGGCAGGGAGCTGGAAGGGAAGTGGAACAGCTGGGACATGAAGTAGCACCCATATGGGATCCTGGTGCTTGAAGAATGAGATTAATCTGTTGAGTCATTGCATCAGTTGCTCCCCACACACAGGTGACAGCTTAACTCATTGTGCTACAATTCTGGTTTCCAGAGTGTGTGTGTGTGTGTGTGTGTGTGTGTGTGTGTGTGTGTGTGTGTGTGTGTGTGTGTGTAAGGGGAGGGGGCAAAACAGAGAGCGCCAGGTCAGGACACACCACCCCAGTCCATAGGCTGGGGGGCTGTAGATTGCCCAGGGAAGGGAATTCGGGGATGTGTAGGAGTGAGAATGGCTGAGTGCATGTTTGTCAGGGAAGGAATGACTTCTGGTGATCTTCATGGACTGTTCATGAACTGACAGGTAGGCAAGGAGGCTGAGACAGGGTGGTTTAGAGAGGGGAAACCGGATAGCAGGCCCCGGTCAGGCCAAGGTGCCTGCACATGTGGAAGGCATGGGCTGAATTAAACAGTATTACCCACCTCTTGAGGGTGCTCACAAAATCTGGGGCTGGTGTGCATGGCTGGCTATGCTAGGCCACAATACCCCACCCATGAGTGTTGGAGTAGGGTGTGGACCACAGCACCCACCAGAATGTGAGGAAACAGATTTGGGGGCAGATTCTGTAGGGGAATTGTGGCCTCTGAACTGCAGCACCCATCAGTTTACATGGAGAGCTGGGGGTGGTGACGGCCAAGGCCAGCTGGCCTATAGAACTCGCCTGACAGGAACCCAGCTGACACTTGTGGGAGCGAGGGCCAGGCCACAGTACCTACAGGCACATGCAAAGACTGGGATCAAGGCAGACCATATCAAGCAGGTTTGGTGGGGGAACTTGGGGAACTCCCTTGCTGGGGTATACCTTCTGCTGTTGAGCAGGAAAACCAGGACTGGGAATATGCCAAGCTGGACGAGGCAGCAGTACCCATGGGTGTGCATGAGTACTGGATTGGACGTGAGCTGGGCCACAGGCTAGGCCACAGCAGAAGCCAACATGCACAAAAATCAAAGCTGGGGCAGGTCTGGTGGTGGTTATTGGGGATCACTCCATCAGTTTGTGTGAGGTATGGGGCTAGGGCGGAACTGACCAGGCAGCTGCCTCCTTGGTGTGTGCATTGGCTGCTGCAGGTGACAGACCACATCTGACCCTCAACTGGCTGGCACATAAAACACAGAAGAGTCAAATCTGAGATCATCTCAGGTGAGGTTTCTTGGGGGACTTCACAGTGGAATTACTAGACTCAAACCCTGGCCACAAGGGAAAAAAATCACAGAATTTGTTGTACAACATTGGAGTGCACATGTCAGGATGGGGCCTCCCTCAGTTGCCGATGCCTGTGCAACACACAGTGTGACCAGACCCGTGTGGAGGCCGTGACAGTCAGCTCATCTAAGCCAGCAGGAACGGCAAGTGCCTCATCAATGGACAGAAAGCAAAACACCCACCTTCCTCCATAACACTCTCCTCATCCTAAGCAAGAGGCCCACATGGGTGCACATCCCTCTAAATTATGGAAACAGTAGTAAAGGGGGAAAAATTAAATGTTTTAAAAGGAATTGTTTTTTATTTGAAAATCTTTTTAATATTTAAAAAATTTTTATATTGTTTTTAGTATTACACAGTTGAAAGGCTGCAATCCCATGTGGGCCTCTGATTACGGTAGAGGATCAGGCACAGAAGAAGGTGTGTGGGACAAACATTTCTGCTTTCATTTTTTATTTTTAGCTGTGTCCAGAGGGGAGGAGGGACAGTGGCTACTGCTTGCTGTGAAATTGCATCAGGACCCCAGGATTGACGATGGTCATTTGACGATACCTTAGAGACCCTGATGTGGAGAAGAATGTTCTGAGGGTGTTACTTGAATAGTTTTGATAGTTCTGAGAAGTTGTTGGTTTCGTTGATCCAAGGTTGAAAAAAATCTTTCCAAGGTCTATTGATTGACAATGTCCATCTTAGTGCATCCACAGACCCAGGAACATGCTGCAAAGCTTGGCCAGAAGAGTTTTCCAACCTGTTACTGCTTTCTGTCCTCTGATGAGGCAGTTGACATCGCCTGCTGGACTAGATGAACTGTCCTATCTCCTGTGTGCATCTGGGCATGAACTGCATGAGCATCAGCCTGACACATGCACTCCAAGATTGGACTACAAATCCTGTGACCAGGGTCTGACTCCAGTGGCTGTGGCCCAGTTGTGGAGCCTCCCGAGAAACATCACCTTGTGACCTCAGAGATCTGCATCTGTTGGCTCACTCCCAAGTGGCTGCAGTGACCGGGGATAAGCCAGATCAAAGCCAGGAGAATGACTCTCCTTGGTCTCCCGTGTGAGTGGTGTAGGGGCTAAAGGATTTGGGTCATCTTTTAGCTACTTTCCCAGGAGCATGAGCAGGGAGCTAGATCAGAAGTGGAGAAGCTGAGACTGGACGCATTGCCCTTAAGAGATGCTGGTGTTGAAGGCCATGGTATAACTCACTGTGCCACAGCTCAAGTCCCCAGTGCCATTATTTATACTGAAGACCAAAATAAAGATTTTTGCATTGGGTATATAAACATTTTAAACCACTATGGTATTTAGTCACATGTATATATAGATCATGGTTTACTTTGCTCACCATGACATTTTGAATGTTTCAGAATTTTTTGTTTGTTTTCCCTCCTCTTTTTAGGATTTACTTATTTATTTGAAAAGCAGAGTTAAAGAAACAGAGGTGTTCAAGCACCCAGGTTGTCTTATGATTCCTTCCCAGGCATTTTTATAGGGAACTGGATAGGAAGTAAAGCAGCTGGGACTTCAGCCAGCACCTACATGGTAAGCCGGCATTGTAGGCATTGGATTAATCCATTGACCCACAATGCCCAATGCCAGCCTCATTTCAGGGGTTTTTTGTCTTTTTTTTTTTTCTTGTTAATAACATTGCATTTTCATGTTTGTCAGTTTAGGGCCAGCATTGTAGTTTCTCATTTAGTCACTAGGTTTGGTCCTAGTTGTTTATGGCCAGGGGAAAAGTAGTGGAAGATAGCCCATGTGCTTGGGCCCCTGCTACCCAAATGGGAGGCCTGAAAGAAGCTCCTGGCTCCTAACTTTGACCTGACTCAGCCCTGGCCGTTGTGGTCATCTGGTGAGTGAGCTAGCAGGTGGAAGATCTCTTTCCTTGTCTCGCCCTCTCTGTAACTGTGACTTCAAGTAAATAAATAAATAAATAAATCTTTTTTATACATTAAAAAAAGAACAAATGAGGATCATGGTAAAGGTAGTGAAAATATTCAGAATTTTTTTTAGTATAAAGCTGTCTACTTCCTGTGGTTTGTAAAATACATATGTGGATAGAACTAAAGATGACAAGTTTTCTGCCCTAGCGTCTGGATTGGACAGTGAGTATTTCAGGGAATGGAGATAGGGGAATAACAATTTTGTTTTAGGTAGATTAAGGTTTTTTTTGCTTATGTAAATGTTTAATAGAAGTACACTGGAAAGTATACACATTCTGAAATATAACCATAGATCTTTGCAGAGTACACTCAAGTGTAAGTAGTACTTAGAAAACACACACACACACACAAAACAAGAAAAAAAAAGAAACACAAACCGCTCTCGTAGTAGTCCTTACTTCAGCTACTAACTACAAATTATCAAAGTACTCATTGCAGTTTCCAAATCCCAGAGCCATAGGCTTTTCATTGTGCTTTAGAATTTAGAAACTTGGGGGCCCAGCGCAATAACCTAGTGGCTGAAGTCCTCACCTTGCACGCGCAAGGATCCCAGATGGACGCTGGTTCTAATCCCACTGCTCCACTTCCCATCCAGCTCCCTGCTTGTGGCCTGGGAGAGCAGTGAAGACTGGCCCAAGTAACTAGACTTTGCTACCCCATGATGGAAAACCTAGGCAAGCCCCTGCTGTTGCCACCATTTAGGGAGTGAGCCAGCACATGGGAAATCCCTTTCTTTCAGCTTGCCTTTTAAAATTGATAGGTAGATATTTTTTTTAAGTTTTATGTTTTAATCAAAGCTTTCATTTTTGTTTTCCAGGAGCGAGACAATTGGATCAGTTGTCCTGTGGTGTTTTTTTGTTTTGATTTTTTTTTTTTTAATTTAAAGGTAATCTGCTTCTTGGTTCACCAGTCATATAGACAATACAGTTTTTATTAAAAGGCTGACAATCTTTACTCAGTTTATAAAATACAAATTTGATAATATGATAATGGCTAAGCCTTATGTTTCCACTTTTTTCTAGTTGCCTCAGAAAATCACAGAATATATTTAATTTCTAAAAGAATGTACTTCACAAAAGTAAAACTCAAAATATACCCAAGCTACGTTACTTGTTAATGTACCCACAATTTTTTTCAAAAACTTATAAAAGTTTCATAAATTTTGTAAAATTTTATAAATGAAGTAAATATTTAAATTTGCTTTTTGAATCTATGTTTTACTTGTAGATTGAACTCTTGGACCATGGGAATCAAGGTTCAGCGTCCTCGATGTTTTTTTGATATTGCCATTAACAATCAGCCAGGTAAGATACTGATATTACTAGTTGACATTTATAAGTAAGTATTTAGTATTTTAGTAAAGGGATGTGATGTTTCTTCTTTTTTAGCTGGAAGAGTTGTCTTTGAATTGTTTTCTGATGTCTGCCCCAAAACATGCGAGAACTTCAGGTGTCTTTGTACAGGTTTGTCCCATGCTCAGTAGTTCCATTGACTACTTTAATTTTTAGTTGACTATATTTTGGGGTTTTTTCCCTTCATGCATATTGTCTCTTAACATGAAGATTATGTAACAGTAACTAGGATATAAACATAATTCTTAAATGTTAGTTGTATTGGGATTTTATCAGATTGATTTCTTCATGCTCCAGAAAGTATGGGTGATTTTAAAATGAGAAATTTTTTAAATTCCTGAAGGAACTGAAAATTCCATAGCTTAATGAAAAGCAAATTATAGTTCAAAAAATGTAAGGGCAAAAGCACTCAGCATTAATTTTGCTTTAATAGTATCTGCTTGATTATCTTTATTCTAATTGTGTCCTACTGACTTTCCTTCTCTACAGGTGAAAAGGGGACAGGAAAATCAACTCAGAAGCCATTACATTATAAGAGCTGTCTCTTTCATAGAGTTGTAAAGGATTTTATGGTTCAAGGTGGTGACTTCAGTGAGGGTGAGACTTTCATTTCTACGAAAGAAGACCATGTTTATGTATTCTTCATTAAATACTATACCTTAGAATGGAACAAAATCCCTGAGAGATTTAGTACAGTTTTCGTTCCCTTCTACTTCATGTTTAGTCATTTAGAAATGTCTTGAACATTTATAAAAAAGACAACACAGAAAATATTTTTTTTTATCTTAGAAAATAATTTTTTAAAAATAAATTTTCTTGTGATGGATCAGTTAATATCAAGAATTTTACTTGAGTACAAACCTCTACATTCATGTTTGATTTTTTGTCATACTTACTTAAGTACTACCATATGAGGCTTTTATGTCTTGTAGTAACCATTGAAGCTCTCTGTTTTTTAATGATTTTTTTTAAAATGTGAAAGGTAGAGTTACAGAGAGAGGGAGGGACAGAGGTCTTCCGTCAGCTGGTTAGTTCCCAAAAGACTGCAGTGCAGAGCAATGCAGACAAGCCAGGAGCCAGGAGCTTCATCTGGATCTCCCACGTGCTTGAGGAGCCCAAGCACATGGGTCGTCCCCGCTGCTTCTCCAGGCGCATTAGTGGGGAGGTGGATCAGAAACAAAACGGTCAGGACTTGAGCTTGCCGTTCACATGGAATGTTGGCAACCCGGTTGGTAGCTTAACTCATTGTGCTACAGTGCCAGCCTTTTGAAACTACTCTTATTTTTTTGTTGTTTTATTTTTTAAAGATATATTTATTTGTTTTTTATGGCGAGATAGCAAGAGATAAATCTTCTATCTTTTGGTTTAATCCCCAAATGGCTGCAATGGTTGGAGCTGGGCTTATCTGAAGCCAGGAACTTCTTCCAGGTTTCCCAGGTGCATACAGACCTCAAGGATTTGGGGGACAATCTTGTGCTGCTTTTCCAGGCATATTAGCAGGGAGCTAGATCTGGAATGGAGTAGTTGGGGCTTCAGTTGCAGTATGGGATGCTGGCACTGGCTTACCCACTGTGGCACAGGACCAGCTCTGAAGCTGTTTTTATAGAAACCCTGAAAAATCTTAACTCTCCTTTAAAAACAAAACCTGCCTAAAATTAGATTATGTAACTTTGTCACATTTTTTACCCCCTTCCCCCAGCTTTGTCATGTTTTTAGATTACAGGATTTGTCACATTTTTAGTATTAGAGAGTAAAATAGTTTGGGATTTTGACTTTATTGACACAAATTTTTAGAATGATTTTCTGTGATCTCTGAGTACTACTATTCCTAAAAATCTTCTGAGCATGTACTTTGTAAGAAGTAATTTGCTTAAATAGCACTTAACTATCTTTAAGATTCTGAGTCTTTGTTGTTTTATTTGTTTTTCTCATTTTTAGGAAATGGACGAGGTGGAGAATCTATTTACGGAGGATTTTTTGAAGGTAAAAATGTTTATACTTTTAATGTTTTTCTAGTTTATTCTTTTTTTTAATGTATTTTTATTTTATTTGAAAGGAAGGAAGATGGACTTTCTATTTAGAGATTTACTTTCCAGTTGGTTCATGTTCCTAAGCTGCCCCAAGCCAACATCAAGAGTCCAGAACTCTCCTGGTTCACCCTCATGGGTGGCAGGGACTGAAGTGCTTGACCATTCATTACCTGCTGTGATCCAGGGTTACATCATAGGAAACTGAATTGAACGCCTAGTAGCTGGGATTACAACCAGGGACTAATATATGAAATGTGGGTTTTACAAATGGCAGCTTAACTGCTGTACCAGATGCCCACCATTTGGTTACTATTTATTGAATCAACAAGGTTATTCATTAATCAGTATACTAATATTTAGCGACCTTCAACTATTCCAAAAGTTAACGTTCTTTTAGAAAATTCTGTGTGATACACTGTTTATAAAGTGGAGGTTTATGTTCTTAGTATATTATTGCACACTAGGAGTTTGAATGATCTTTACTAAAGTTTTAGAATTATTGCATTAGATTAGGAACCTCTTCACTAAAAGATTTATTTATTTATTTTTATTTGAAAGGCAGATTTACAGAGAGAGAAGGAGGGACAGAGACAGAAGTCTTCCATCACTGGCTGGCTCCTCAAAAGGCCACAACAGCTTAAGCTAGACTGGTCAGGAACCAGGAGCTTCTTCAGGGTCTCTCATGCAGGTTCAGGGTACCAAGGGTTTGGTCCATTCTCCACTATTTCCCCAGACCACAAGCAGGGAGCCGGAAGGGAAGTGGAGCAACTGGGATAGCATCTGGTGCCCATGCGAGTCATCACCACTTGTAGGTAATAGATTAACCAATTGAGCTATTGTGCCAGCTCAAAGATAGACAAATCTTACTCCTGAGGGTTCACTTTCCAAATGGCCACAAGGACTGGAGCTGAGCCAATCTGAAGCCAGGAGCTTCTTCTGGATCTTCTACAGAGGTGCAGGTACCCAAGGGCTTGAACCTTCTTCCTCTGCCTTCCCAAGTCATCAGCAGAGAAATGGATCGGAAATGGAACAGCTGAACTTGGACTGGCACCCAAATGGGATGCTGGTGTCAAAGACGGAAGCCCAGCTACTGTGCCATGGCACCAGCCCCAGCAATATTTCTTAATGTTCAAATTTTAGAAAATATTTTTCCCGTAAATTTTAAAAATTCTCAGCATACTGAATTGCTGTTTTCTGATTTTGTGATTTTTTTTTTCTCTAGATTGTGTATTAGTGTGAAGATCATTTTGAAAAATTAGCAGCTTGTAAATGTGGAAATAATTTTTTTACAATCTTTCATTTTTGGGTATAATAAAATTTTGTTGGGAATTCTACAGCTTTTGTTCTCATATACTAATCTAAAAGACTGAAAGATAAAACTGCACATTAGATGTTATTATGGTAAAGATTTAGTGATCCTAGTATAAACATTATGAGTACTGAAATAGGCATCATGAAATGGAATTAAAGGGCATGGTGTGATTGCTCAGTGGCAAAATCTTCACTTTGCAAAGGCAAACATCCCCCGTATGGGCACCAGTTTGTGTCCTTCTGCTCCACTTCCCATCCAGCTCCCTGCTTATGGCCTGGGAAACCGGCAGAGGGTGGCCTAAAGCCTTTGGGACCCTGCACCCATGTTGGAGACCCAGAAGAAGATTGTTGCTCATGGCTTTGTATCGGCTCAGTTCTGGCCATTGCAGACACCTGGGGAGTGAACCAGTAGATGAAAGATCTTTGTCTCTCCTTTCATAGAAATTTACCTTTCCAATAAAAGAAAATGTAAATAGGTAAAAGACATGTAGATTTTTGTTTATTATTTTCATAGGTACACACATATGTTTATATATATATACACATATTTGTTTATTATATATACATATAAATCTTTTGTAAAAGAAAAAATAAATGACTAAATCTATATGCCAGCTTGTAGATAAGCCACTTAGCAATTAGCAATAGATAGCCTGGAGGATGCTTTAAAGGGCAAAACACACAAAAAAAATTTTTTTTTCATTTTTTTTAGTATATTTTGACAATCTTTACATAGTTAATTAGGGTAAAAAGGTTCAAGGGCTACAGGAAAATGGGTAAGATTATTATTTTTCCCATATTGCTTCCTTCATGTTTAAAGGAAGGTATTAAGGGAGAAGGCCCACCCAATTTGCACCCTTCCCAGGTCCCGGATGTAGGGTATGCTCTGAGGTTCTTGCTCAGATGGTTTGATATTTCAACAGTTATGAATCGCTGCCAATCTTGCCACTCCAAGCACTATGAGGTCTTTGAAGAATCCACTGGTTGATATAGTCCATCATAGGGTCTCTGTTTGCCCCGTATTTTGCTGCTAAGATCTAGCTGAGATGGTTGGTTGACCTGTTCTGTCTTCTCTTTTTTCTTGGTTAGGGTTCTGAGTCCAGCATTTCGTTTGGGGAGATCTCCAAAGAAACTGTCTGAGGTGTTCTCAAACCAGATTCTTGTATGTGCTAGCAAGTACAGGGCCCGGCACAGTCCATTGCCCCGAAAAAAAATTTTTTTGAACATTTGTTTATTTGAAAAATATAACAAGGTATCTTCCACCTGTTGATTGACTTCCAAATGGCAACAGTGGTCAGGGTTTTGCCAAGCGAACCCAGGAGCCTGAAATTCCATTGGGTTTCCAGCAAGGGTAGAAACCGTAATATTTGGTTCATTCTTTTACTTTGCCAGGTGCCTTAACGAGGAGGTGGAATCAGAAGTTGAGAAACAAAGACTCAAACTAGTGGTCATATGGGATGCTACTATTGCCAATGCAGCCTAATGTGCTGGGCCACAAGTCCAGCTCCCCATCTGTTTTCTAAATTGTTTTTTTCCAAGATTTTTGTCTTTTGCTGAAATAAACAAGCAGTTATGTCATCCTTTCCAAAAATTGCATAGGATAGCGTAAATGTAAATTTAAAAATTTGTTTTGGGCCCAGGCCCAAACATGGTAGTCTGGTAACCTAACAGCTGAAGTCCTTGCCTCACATACACCAGGATCCCATATGGACGCCAGTTCGTGTCCTGGCAGCCCTCACTTCCCGTACAGCTCCCTGCCTGTGGCCTGGGAAGGTAATGGAGAATGGTGCAGAGCCTTGGGACCCTGCGCCCACGTGGGAGACCTGGAAGGAGCTCCTGGCTCCTGGCTTTGGATCGGCTCAGCTCTGGCTATTGTGGCTACTTGGGGAGTGAATCAGCAGATGGAAGATCTTCCTCTCTGCCTCCCCTCTTCTCCTTATATCTCACTTTCCAACAGGAATAAATAAATATTTAAAAATTTTTTTGTTTAAAAATTTGTTTTATTAAGCAATTGTTAGAAATTGTTGGTTTTTTCCTAATCTAAAATGTTCGAAAGGAAATCGATTTATATTTGTTTTTTACTTTATAACCAGTTATCTAAGTTGTATTTATCATTAAAAAGCTCATCAGTTATGAAGAGGAGTGAAAATTAGCTTTTTCTTTTTAATAAATTGTGTCAATTTTGTAACTGAAAACATTGCTTCCTGTAGATGAGAGCTTCGCTGTTAAACACAACAAAGAGTTTCTCTTGTCGATGGCCAACAGAGGGAAAGATACAAATGGCTCACAGTTCTTCATGTAAGTACTGATGATCTGATCTTTTAAGGTATCCTAATTTTTTGGTCTTATTTTTATTTTTCTGTGTGCCTGCCATTAATCATTAACATGCCAGAGGAGAAATTCTTAAGGTGATATTGTTGAATGAACAACATGAAAGAATAGAAGAGTAGGCAAATCAATCTTTTGTTTGTTTTTAAGGTGTATTTATTAACTTGAAGGGCAAAATTACAGAGACAGACAGATCCTCCATCCACTGGTTTATTTCTTAAACAGCCATATCAGCTGGATCTGGGTTGTTGTGGAATCGAGCACTTCTTTGGAGTCTCCTACATAGCTCCAAGGATTTCGGCCATCCTCCACTGCTTTCCCCGGGTGTATTAACAGCAAACTGAATTGGAAGTAGAACAGAAAGGACTCAAACTGGTGTTCATATCAAATTTCAGCACTACTGGTGTGGGTCTAACCCTATGTGGGTCTCACGAGTTTTCAAGTGATGAAGACATGTCAGGAGACAGGGGAGCCAGCTGAACAGGGTTTCACACCACCCAAATTGAGACAATTTGAGCATCAAAAGTAATGGTGGTACCAGGTATAATCAAATAGAAATCCACAAATGCATAAGTTTTAATTATTCATCATTAGCCATACTTGGAAGTATTAAATGAAAGATTCCAAAAATAAGTGGATTTGTTACATGTCATTCTCAGTAGCATGATGAATTCTCACTGTCCAGACAGGAGCCTGAATCAACTCCTTTTAAGTCATCCCTTTGTTCAACATGGGTGCACTACCTGCCGCTTAGTCACTTAGTAGTTAGTTTCTTGGTTGTCAGAGCACTGTTGTGTTGTTGTAATGTTTATATTCTATTACTCCTTGATAGATTTTAGCATATCCAGACAGTAATATGCAAGAGCTCAGTCACATATAAGAAGCACAAATGGATAAAAATAACACCAGAATGTCATTGAAGTTTTAATATATTCAAGGTTTCAATAATGAGTAGGTACTGTTTTAAGACTCAAAACAATTTTTAAAATATAGAAAACATTGTATATTCTATTCTACTTAATAATGTTGTGAAGATAGTATGTGATTTCAATTTTTTTCCAACACTGTTATTTTGTTTTCCTTTTTTACGAGTTGTTTACTTTGTTTTTCTCTTTGTTTTAATTACTCTGATGACTTCGCAAAAGAACAACGAAGCCAACACCTCATTTAGATGGGTAAATACTATTTTATTTTAAAACATACTTTAGTGAATACTAAAATACAAGCTTTTAGTTAGTCATCTTTTCTTGACTCTTTAGGCATCATGTTGTTTTTGGACAAGTGATCTCTGGTCAAGAAGTTGTGAGAGAGATAGAAAACCAGAAAACCGATGCAGCTAGCAAACCATTTGCTGAGGTACGGATACTCAGCTGTGGAGAGCTAATTCCCAAGTCTAAAGGTAAGAATAAGTATATATTTCTGAGAAATCTTACATTCATAAAATGACCAGTCACTCTGTTTATCATATAAACCTGACATAAACAATGTTTTTGTTCTGAGTGTTTCTTACGCTTTTGATTTGCTTTTAAATTAATAAAAATTGTATGCTTATACCAAGCAGCATATTTTAAATATGTAGACATTGTGAGCTAAATTGAACGTGTTATTAGTTTTTTTTCTGTTTTTTTGTGTTACTATGTATACAATATATTTTTTGAATGCATTCTTCTATCTAACTGAAATTTTTTTGTCTTAAGAAAAAAATCTCCCCAATTCCAACACCACCAGTACTAGTAGCCCCTGTAACCACTGCTTTTCTTACTGCTTCTATAAATCAATCTTGCATTCCATCTATAAATTAATCCATATGGTATTTTCTGTCTTATTTCACTTAACAAATTATCTTCTAGGTTTTTGTATTTTTTTTTAAATGCTGGCTAGAATCACATCATATGTATATATATGCCACTTGAATCAGTTGATGTGTTGTTGGACACAAGTTGATTTCATTTCATGGCTGTTGTGACTAACATTGCAATGAGCACGAGAAGTACAGTTACCTCATGAACTGATTTCATTTATTTTGCATAGAGTATTCGAATTAATGGGTCATAGAATACTGTTTTCCAGTTTTCTGAGGCATTTCCACATTTTCCTGACTAATTTATAATTCTACAGATTGTATGTTAAGTGATTTTTTTTTTCCCCATGCACAGCATCATCTTTTTTGTCTTTGTGATAGTAACCATTCATAGGTACTAGGTATTGTGGTTTTGGTTTGCATTTCTTTAATGATTAATGATGTTGAGCATTATTTTCATTTACCTGATAACCAGATATGTGTCTTTTGAGAAATACTTGTTTAGGTTTTTTGACTGTATTGATTGAGTTTGTGGTCTTAAATTGAGTTGCTTGAACTGCTTACGTATTTTGAGTACTAATTCTATCAATTGTATGGTTTGTAAATTTTGTCTCCCATTCCATAGGTTGCCTCTTTCCTACTCTTAATTGCTCCCTTGATAGTATAGAAGTGGTTTAGTTTTGCTAATCTCATCTATTTTCACTTTTATTGCCTATGTCTTTGGGGTCGTATTCAAACTTATTTTCTGGATTTGTGTCATGGAACTCTTCCCGTTGTTTTCTTCTGCTTCAATCATTGTCTACTTTCAGATAATTATATATGGATTGGGAGATAAAGGTCAAACAATTCCGCTACATATTGATATCCAGTTGTCCCCCAATGCTGTTTCTGATAACTATCTGTCCTTAACCCGTTTTATGTTTTTGGCATTTTTATGTTTTAAATTGTATTCTGTCATTCTTGTTAATTTATTATGAAATCATTGAAATGTTTCTTATTTTTGCAGTAGTTTGCGCTCTTTTCGAGCTTTTTCATTTTCAATAAATACTCTTCTAGAGAAAGAGACAATGCAAGGAGAGCAGTAATTGAAGGGAATAAGAAAAGCTTTAGAAGAGGGGCTTTTGGGTCATGGCTAAAGTGCTACTTGTTTTTCTTTTATTTGTTTTTAATTTTTAATGTTGTAAATATTGTTTATGTAGTTGAAAGGGATTTGTGCCCATGTGGATATCCAGGTAGGGTAGGGAGGGTGGAGGTATGGAGGGAGGTAAGTGTGTGGTACAAATGTTTCAGTTTTTTTGTTTGTTTGTTTGTTGTTGTTGTTGTTTTATGTCCTCCTGTGTCTGTTTGGGGGAATGGAAAGAGGCCGCTCCTTGCTGTCAAACTGCATCAGGACCCGGGATGGGGGATGTTATTTGATATGTCTTAAGAGACCCTGATGTGGGAAAGAGTGTTCCGAGGGTGTTAGCTATTTTTTTTTAATAGTTCTGAAAAGTTGTTGGATTCATTGATCCAGGGTTGAGAAAATCTTTCCAAGGTCTATTGTTTGACAAAGTTCACCTTAGTGTATCCACAGACCCAAGAACATGCTGCAAAGCTTGGCCAGGAATTGTCCAACTGGTTTTGCTTTCTATCCTCTGATGAGGCAGCTGACATCCTCTACTGGCAGAGATGATCTGGCTGTCCACTGCATAGGCATCAACAACTGAGGATGCCCAGTCCCAATACATGCACTGTAAGGTTGGACCACATGTATTATGATTTTCCCTGTGGCTGGAATTGAATCTAGTGATCTAGTTAGGGAGTCACCTTGCCTGGGATGACCCCCAGTTTGACTCTTGTGTGTGCATCAGCCTGTTTAGGGTCAGCTTCTGATCAGGTCACCTGCACCAGCCAATGCATATACTGGTTAAAGTAGCTGTCTGGTCAGTTCTACCTCCAACCCAATCTCTCAAAGGAACTGATGGATGCTATGGCTCAGCTCACCTAAGACCCAGTCCTGATGCACACCAGCAGGTGCTGTGAGTTAGTCAGAGCAACCCACAAAAACCCTCATTGGGCCTGTCCCAAGTTTTGAGTTTTGCATTTGCAGTATGTGTTGCAGCGTAGCCCGGCCCATCCATCCATCATGCACACCTGTGGCTTAATTCAGCCCACACATATGCTAAGAGATGCTTGTCCAACCTGGTCTGCCCCCAGGTCTGGCTTCTGTGCTCACTAATGGGAACTGCAATACAGCAGGGGAGTGCTTACAGTACCCCCCAACCCTGAATCGCCCCTAGATTGAGCCCACATGCCAGTTGACGGATCCTGCATCCTGCCCAGACCAGGCTGCCTTCAGTCCCAGCTCCCATGCTCACCAGTGGAAGCAGCAACACAACATGGGAGTCCCTCAAGTTCCTGTACCAGGTCTTCTCCCAGCCCCAGGTCTTGGCACATGTCACTGGGTACTGTAGCCGAGGCTGGCATGGCCCACCCCCATGTTTGCTGGTTGGTGGGGCAGGCTCAGCTCACCTCTAGTTCCAGTTATTGCTGGTGAGTGCAGCAGCCTAGCTCAGACTGGCGCCTATCCCCAGCCCTGGCCCTCATGTGAACTGGCAAGTGTTGTGGACCAACCCAATCTGGCCTGCACCCCACCTAGGCTCTCGCTACTGCCAGCGTGTACTGCAGACTGGCCCAGTTTGGCCCAGCCCACACAAATGCCAAGGAATGCTGCAGTCCGGCCTGGTCTGGCCTGCCCCCAGTCCTGGCTCTTGTGCTTACCAGTGGGAACTGTAGTCTAGCAGGGGAGGTTACCAAGATCCCTTACCATGTCCACCCCCAGTCCTGGCATTTACTGGCAGGTACTGCAACCTAGCCCAACTGGCCATAACCATTTTTGTTTTTGCCAGTGTGTGCTGTAGGCTAACCCAACCTGGTCCACTCAAAGACCCAGCTCTCATGTCACCCAGTAGGTGCCCCAGCCTCACCCAACCTAATCTGCATCGATTCTGGCTCCTATGGTGCCAGCTGGTACTGGGACCTGGCCTAATCTAACCTGCCCCTAGATGCAGCTTATAGGCATGCCGTTAGGTGCTGCATCTTGGTCTTTCCTCAGCCTCAGCTTTCACATTCATCAGTGGAAGCTGCAGCCTAGCAAGTGAGTCTCCAAATTTCCACTACCAGGCCCATTCCCATTTCCAGATCTGTGTGCTGGCAGGTGCTTTGACCTAGCCTGGCATGACCCACCCACAGCCTCAGCTCTTCTCTGTGTGCGTTACAGCCTAACACAGTCTGGCAAGACCCTCAGTCTCTCCTACTGCCAGACCTGGCCCACTAATATGCCAATGAGTGCTACAGGCCTTGCAGGCCCATGCCTGCCATAGCTCTTGTGCTTCCCAGTAGGCACTGCTGTGGGAGTTAGATGCTATTTGTGATGCCCACATCTTATTTACCAGGATGCCTGGTTACAAATCCTGGTTTTGCTTCTGATGTAACATTCCTGCCAATGTACATCCTTGGAAGCAGCTATTTAGTGGCTGAAGCTCTCTCTTTTCCTTTTAAACAAAAGCAGAAGCTTTGAGGCAATGAATTTTCACTTCATGCACTGTTTAGATTCAGAAGCATCCTGTATTTTTTTTTTAAGATTTGCTTATTTATATTTGAAATGAAAATTTATAGAGAGGAGAGATAGAGAATGATCTTTCATTATTGGTTCTTTTTTCATTGGCCCCAACAGCTGGACCTGAGCTGATCTGAAGCCAGGAGGTAGGAGCCTCCTTTAGGTCTCATATGGGTGCAAGGGCCCAAGGACCTGTGCCGTCCTCTGCTTTCCTAGGCCATAAGCAAAGAGCTGGATGGGAAGTGGAACAGCCAAGATATGAACCCGCTCCCACATAGAATGCTGGGAGTTAATTGAGTCACCTCATTAGTTCCCAGCCTCCTTTACTATTAAGAAACTTCTTTTACTTAGACCAGTCAAAGCTAGGATGATTGATTTTTCCTACTGTCTGAAATGCTAAGAACTTTGCTATAAGTCTTAGGTGTGTTGTTTCTTAAAATTTAAGAAAATGCTGTCATATAATACAAAAATGGAATCTGACAGAAGTAATGGAGTTAAGATTACCTTCAAATCTCTATAAATGTAAAAAATTAAACTGCTCTAATTTTACTGGCCTGGAGAATAGAAATATCAATAGTTGTGGTTAGCAAATGTGATTCTTTTGATTCTTTTTTTTAAATTTATTTTTATTGTAAAGTCAGATATACAGAGAGGAGGAGAGACAGAGAGGAAGATCTTCCGTCCAATGATGAATTCCCCAAGCAGCCATAACGGCTGGAGCTGAGCCAGTCCGAAACCAGGAGCCAGGAACTTCTTTCTCCAGGGAGCTGGATGGGAAGTGGAGCTGCCGGGATTAGAACCGGCGCCCATATGGGATCCTGGGCGTGCAAGACGAGAACTTTAACCACTATTCTATTGTGCCAGGGCCTACTCTTTTGATTCTTGAAATATCTGTGATACTGTCTCCCCAGCTTACAGGTCACGATTGGCAAAAGATTTTGTTTTCTACCATATTCAACAAATACGTGTTAAACATAAGTTTGGGATCTAGAGCTTTTGC